ACCTCGGTTCTCGAACAGAATTTAGGTTTACTGTACTCGGTTTTCGAACAGATAAGATTATATTCGACAACCGAGGTTTTACTAAATTATAACGTAAAAATTGTCTAAATCAATATTTCTCTACCTATTTAGCTATAATCGTACTGTGTTGACGTAATTGACCCAATTGTTGACGTAAGGGGACAGCTGTCATTTTGCAACCCATTTGAAATATAACCAACTCTAAAAATCGAGATGAAACTTTTTGTACTATTCACATAATTAGTACGTCAATTATATTAATTAATTAAAAAATCACACTGTCTAATTACTAATTACTCATTAAAGAAGTTCAATATAAATACATAATACATTTTTATTTTAAATTAAACTATTGAAGAAAAAAATAAGAAAAAAGAAATTTTGTTTTACATTTTATTTAGAGGTTAGGTTTATTTTTATTTGACAGTTATCTCCATATTAGGAGAATTTATTTCATTGAAAATTATACATTTTTTTAATTACAAATAATTTAATTAATATAACTTTGTTTTAACTTCCAGAAAGAAAACAACTTTAAAATTTACAAAAACAATCCATAAAAAGAACGTTACAAATTAAATTTTTATCATTTTTAACTGCATTTTCATTAGAAACTTTACAGGATTAATTCACTAAAATAGAAGTATATTTCACGTGAACCAATCGACTGTGACGTTCCGGTGAGGATTGAAGATTTACGTAACGTTTGGTTTGTTGTGTCCCCCGCGCAACTTCGATGGTATAAATAAACCGGGAGGACAGTATAAATCTCCGAAGAGTCGCGCCACCCTCTTGACCAGCTTTTGGCGGCAACTGTTTATACAAAAAAAAAGAGAGGACAGTGATGAACATTTACTAGGACCGGAATTTGCAGCGACACCGAAAGGGCCGATGCGTTTCCAGTTTCAATTCACATCACCCCTGCGCTGATTGCGCAATGAATGTTAATTACTCCAGCATTACGTTTGTTTCAACAATTTAAGGGTTGGTTTTGTTCTCTCTCTCTCTCTATCTATCTCTAAACCATTCCTATTCCTCTCTTCCTCTGACACACAATATGCATTATCTCTTCACGTGTGTATTTTGGTTGGTGTGTGCGAACGCTGCACCCGGTATAAATAAAACAAATGGTGCCAACTGTGTGAAGGGTTGCAACAATAAATTAACAGCAGTTCGGCCATAAATACATGACGTTGGTGGCCTGCGAAACACTTTATGATCGAATGGTAGAGAAGAGGTTTTACACTTTGTTTTTAAACTTTTTATTTTACTTTCTTTCTCGTGAAGTTGCGAAACAAATTACAGTTTTTTAAGAGCTTACATTGAGGAATAGATCCAATTTCAGGCTAAAATCCTAATTAATTATTACACAAGTCTAGTAAACAATGCTGATTCAAAAGTAATATCAAATTTTCCTAATTAATCCTCAAAAATAAAACAGTTCTATCAAATTTAAATCGAAACTATGTTTTATGGATTTTGATTACAATTTAAGTAATTTTCAAGCTTCTAAAAAAAATTGTCTGGTCCAATTTTTATAAATTTATTTATTTTTGTTTTACAAATTTGTCCATACTTTGTTTCTGTAAATAAAACTAATTTAAAATTTCCAAACGCATTGTCATAAAACAACTATTACCATATGTTTCTATAGCGATTCTTAATTTTTCCTCAACTGTTTGAAAGATTTTTTTCTATAAATAAATTTATTGAAACTTTACAAACGAATGTTATAAAAGAAACATTAATATTTTGTTTATCGCCAATCGTTTTCCTGAAATAGTTATGAAAATATTGATTACGCAATCGTTTGAAGTAGACACCAAATTCAATAGTTGAAAGTTCAAATTATGTAGCGAATTTCTTTTACGATTTTGTTTTACTGCTATATTTGCTGAAAAGGTTATTTCATTTTTAATTACGCAATCGTTTAAAGTAGATCAACGAATTCTATAGTTGTAAGTTCTAATTCTATAACGTATTTTTATTAAATTTAAACCATTTTTTCTCTAAATTAATGAATTTAAACTTTCCAAACGAATTGTCATAAAAGAAACGTTACGATTTCATTTTACCACCATTTTTGTCCGGTATAAGTTATGTCCATTTTAATTACACAATTGTTTGAAGTACACAATCAAATTCAATAGTTGAACTGAATTTATAAACAAAATTTTATTAAAAAATATCGATTTGCGTTGTAATTTCCATGTAAATTTAGTGTAATTTATTTGGATTTTGAGCTTAATTAACTAATTAGTCAGACCTTTTAACATCATTCAAATTTGCATCGACGGTAGCTTTTAGTATAATCACTAAGTACATTATCCACAAAGTAATTTATTATTGTCCGAAACCGGTCGGTTTCGCATTACGTAAACGGCATTCCGTTACACAATCGAACGACGAAAATGAACGCTAAGCTAAAAGCGCAAAACACATAGATTAAAGTGCTTGCAGATAATTTAACAGTTCAAGAGATCATATTTTTATTCATTCACTTCAAACATTTACATACTTTTAATCACTATACACATCAAATATAGAAAAATGAAATTTTTATTTTTTTTTTCTTATTAATTTTTTATAGCTCTTCGTATTATAAAAGCATTGAATAATGAAAAAAAAAATAGGAAAAAATCAATTAAATAAGTTGTCATCTATTGTGACAAGTTTTGTCCCTATTATATATTTTGCACCTAATATTTTTTATTTTATTAAAAATAAGTATGTAATAGATAATGTAATAGACTATGTTTCAAAAGTCATAAACTAAAAACTATCAAATTTTCTGTAGAAAATTTTTAAAATTAATTTTGATTTTGCACAATTCCAATTTAGTTAATTTTGAAATATTCATACCGTACTATAATGAATCCGCACTATGCGAGGTTTTTCTGCATTATTTTTTATAAAAAAAATATAAGAACTGCATATTTATTCTCTATCAATTAATTACTTAATATTTTTTCAACACGAAAATCTTAATACATTTTTTTTGTCTTGGGACATCTATAAATTGTTAAAATCTACAAAATTTCACTCAATCACACACATCATAATTCACAAATTTAAAATACTGGTTCTTCTTTATATAGACAAAAAAAAGAAACAAAAAGTATTGAAAAACTAATAAATATGTGATCAGCAATTACATTTATTTTCAGTTTTTTTTTTGTACTTTTGTTTCATGTGAACTTTATACATTTGATGCAATTAAACCTACCGCAACGTAACAAACCGCGAAACTTAATTAAACGCAAAACCGTAAAACGTATCGTGTCCAACAGCAAAATTTAAATGTTGATTAGGGGCAGTTTTATAACCGAAAACTCCGAAATTAGTCTGAATATCAAAATAACAGGAATAAAAAAAAATAGAGTTAGGATAGTTTAAAACAAATTGAGTTCTGCATGTTTCACCTATTTTCACAAATTTTCACAAACCCTCGGGATTCCAATATTCTCATGCCAATTAAAACAAATATATATTTTTTTACAATTATTATTGTTTGATTTCATACAATTTGTATAATTCTAAAGATGAAAATTTAAAGAATTTAATGAAAAACTAAATTGAAAATAATTTCAAAAAATTAATAGTTAAAGTTTGAAAGTCTTTTACAGGAAATTTTTATATACTACAAATTTAGCAATAAGATTATTGCAAAAGGTATACTTTTATCTTTAATAAGCATTTTTAATTATCTTAGTTACTTATGGAATAATTAGATAAAATGTGAAGCAACTTTTTTTTCGAAAAATCGAAATATTTCATTTATTAATTGAAATAATTAGTAAAACTTTTAGTTCAAGTTTGAAAGCGTATTACGGGAAATTTTGAAATACTACAAATTTAGTAATACGATCATTGGAAAAGGCATACTTTTATCATTAATAAGCATTTCTAATGATCTAATTATCTTAGTTAATTATAGAGTAATTAGATAAAATGTGAAGCAACATTTTTTTTGAAAAATCGAAATATTTCATTTATTAATTAATATTACGTAATAAAAGTTATATTCATAAATTCACAAAAAAAAATCACTTCTTTTGTTTAAAAATTAACTATATAAAGTTTTCTACTTAATCTGTAAAATTAAGAAGAAAATATTAGTTGAGATTTTTTTAAAAACTAATTTTTTTTCTTTAAATTCTTAGAGATAGTTTTTCGTGTGTAAATTTGGAGTCACTACCATGTTTAGCCCCAAATCAAATATTTACACCCCAGACGAACGGTGGCAAAGGTGGATGTGACACTCCGCACTTGAACTTATCGACCTTCGGTGTATAAATTTTGAAATAACATCCCCTGCATTATTTAAAACTACTCCTTGCGCTCTTATTTCATTCTCTTCTACAGTTTCTCATCCCTTATTTTGTTTTTTATTTTTATTTTTTTTCAAAGGTAGGAAAGGTACCATTCCACCTTCCTTTCCCACATCTCGCGCTCACTTTGCATTGTCTGCAAACGCCAGGTCGTCATTCTAAAGTCCTGAATTATTCACGACACCTTCCACTAACTTTTCATCACGCGAAAAGCATTAAAACACTCCCATTCCATATCAAAAATTATATGCAAAACGTGTTTATTGTCAGACGAAAACAACGCATCAAGAAAGTTATACAGTCTTAATCATGTGCGATTCTACGTTGAGAACTTATTTGCTTATTCAATTCTTCTATTTCTTGCTATATAAATATAATTTTGTTATATACTTATTATCGTAACGATAGATGGCATTGTTTAAGGTCTAACCCTTTGTGAACGGAGAATTTTTGAGGTCGCATTTTAAACTGTATTAAGTTTGTAAAAAAAATGTAAACGACATGTCGGATATATCCGCCGCTCGTCAAAAAAAGGCTAAAATTGTAGTAATCAACAATTGTCTAATACAATGATTAAATATTGATTTATATTACATAAAATACATGAACATTGCATAATTCGTATTACTATTGACCTACTAGACCTACCTTGTAAGTAATCACGAAAAACACTCAAATGTCAATGGAATGTACCTGAAAAATAAGAAAATACAAAACATTAGCATATGCACACACGTATAATGATTTTAAAATAGAATTTACAATATTAAATGTCAATTAATGACATTAAATTTGCAAAATATTTGTCAATTATTGAAGAACATTTGTACTACGAAATTCTAATTTAAGTTGGTACACGTATATAAATGTAGTTGACAAGTAAATACATCATATAATTAAGGTGGAGAGACTAATAAATACTAATGATGATAGATGGCGTTTCAAATTATCCTCAAATTAAGGTAAAAAAAAATTAATTAAAACTCGATCTGAGCAAATGAAATACTGCATCAATCGAATCATGTCTACTTAGTTTAATTCACTTCGGCGGGAAGTTCAAAGACCGCGCAAATTAATTGACAATCGTCGTTGCATCCGAATTTACCGTGTAAAGAAATTGATTGTACAATCGCGCTGTCCGTTTTCGTTGCATTTGGCCAATCTTGTTTGCATTTGGGATTCAATTAATTCCAATCGAATTAACAAAAGCCAGTTTGTTTTTAGTTTTGGTCTCTATGTACTTGCTGCAATCAGGATTGGACGTTGGATCGATCTGTAATGCTTTTGGTGCATAAAGAAATTGTGCAATAAGTATAGAGAGAATGAGAGTTATCGGACAAATCCATGCACGATCGGAGTTGTTGTTTATTTGGCCTTTGGGGATGGACGGATTTGCAGGGCGCCACTTCTTTTGGTTTCGATCCAAACATAAGAATTACTGCCCTTTCCACATTGTTGAAAAAAACAGTATTGTTCCAATTTCGTTGCTTTTCGTTGCAACCACCTGATGTAATCTGCAGTTACATAACTATAATCATGTTTAATTAATAGTAGTTTTTATAATAACACCATCATTTAAGGTTTTTCTATCAATGTTTTAATTCACTATTTCTTTTTGTAATATTTAGTACTTTTTACTTTAAGAAACTTCATTTTTGTTAAATTTTCTTTAAAAATATCGTCTCTACTATTGAATTCTTAAGTTTTCAAACATTTAGTACTTCTCATTCTAGAAACACAATAATTTAATGATAATTCTTACAATAACTTCCTTTTTATTGTCTTTCCTTCCATGCTTTAATTCACTAGTGGATCATTAAATACTTTTTGTAACATTTAATACTTCTTCTTAAAGAAATACCATCAATTTATAGTTGTTCATTCAAAATATCTTCTCTAGTATTGAATCGTTAAGATTTCTAACTTTTAGTACTTCACTATTAAAACATTAAGTTTTCTAATTGTTAATACTTCGCTATTAGAGCATTACAATGTTATAACAAACAATATTTTATGGTCATTAACTATTAATATTTCTTCTTTAAGAAACACCATCATTTTGTAGCTTTTCTTTCAAAATATCTTCTTCACTATTAAATCGTTCTAAATTTTAGTACTTCACTATTAGATCATTGGTTTTTCTAACATCTACTACTTCTCATTCCATCACAATTTTATCATCAAGTTTTCAATTTATTTCAATATTTTTTTCTTCAACGTCGCGTTTCCTTAATTTATCATTAAAAAAATAATATTCAATCAATTTTGTTGTTTTCACTTAGTTTCTTGAAATTACCATTATAAAAATACATGCACAATAGGACCATTGTTCATGCATCCGCTAAATTACGTCTTTGTATTTAAATTCGTCAAATGCGTATAAAACTGTCCACAACTTTGTACTGTCTTGATTAATACAGTGTCAAGCAACACAAGGTAAACAAAAAAATGTAATAGAAATATCATCAAAAACACTTTATTTTTCTTTATAATTTTTAGATGTTAACCATTATTATTGTATGTCTGCTGGCAATGGCCAAAGCGCATGGTGCGTCATATTGCGAAAGCAATAATTATGAATTGTTATGCTACAACATCAGTTACGTTTTCCCGGTGTTCGAATCAAACCAAACAAATCTAAATTGTAAATCTTGCAATTTTCAAATTCTCGAAGCGAATACATTCAGCAATTTGAAAATGAACATACGATGTCTGAAGTTAGTCAACAACAGCATAAGCAATATTGGTAGAAACGCATTTTGTGGAATGAAACTGCAAGTTCTTGATTTAAGTTTCAATGCAATCTCAGATATATCATTGAGCGTCATCTGTAGAAGTAAAATCACAATTGGACAAGATGATAGAGGCATTCCTGAATATTTGAGCGAAAGGCTACATGTGCAACTGCCAAACAGTCTCCAGTATTTAAACCTATCACATAATGCAATCACTAATATTTACCAATATTCATTCATGCATGCCATTTCATTAATAAACTTGGATTTATCGCATAACAATATAGACACTTTGAATTTTGGATGGGATAAACATTTAAGGTACTTAGAAATATTAGATTTATCTAATAATCGATTGGTTTCATTTGATTTCGGTACATTTACAAGTCTTGTTAGTCTTAGACATCTAAACTTGACCAGTAATAATCTATATTATTTCGCTTCTAATATTTTCATTACAACCAGGAATCTAAACATTTTAGATCTAAGCCGTAATAGGATACGAATGATAGATGAGACTGCCCTAAAAAAGTATATTCCAACTTTGATATATTTAAATGTCAGTGATAATAATTGGGATTGCAAAAGTTTGCAGAATTTAATATTATCCAGCCTGGATAGATTTGAAGTCGTTGAACATGATAATTATAATAGAATGAACGTTAAAGGAATTGCTTGCCTCGATTATAAATGAAATTATATAAAAGTGTATTAAAACAGTGACATTTAAAACCGATTCATTACAAAATATATTTTTTTTTTTTGAAAAAAGTTGTTTAATTTTTGGTTTGTATGTTTTTTTTAATAAATATTATATAAATCATGCTGCAACATCACTAGGAGAGGAAAACCTTGCATAGGGACCACGGATGATTCGTGGTACTGTGGGATTCTTACCCACTAAAAACCTCTCCTCTTCTTCGTCATCATTCAGGTCCTGTTTGTTGATAGTCTCCACTGCCATTTTGATAAAAATTTTAGTTTTTTATTTCTTGTTTCATCAAAATTCAGCAAATGTGAATGTGCCTATTTAAACCGTTGCATTATCTTATTGAATATCGTTTGTTATCCATTTGCTGACGAGCGGCGTATATATCCGCCCTTTGCTTAGTAAAAAATTTGATATTCGTGCTACGTACATTTCATCATCGATTCGTGATTTTCCATGAAAACTCTTTGTGTCTCTATATTCGATGCATCCTTGACTCCAAATGAAGTCAGCACTTTATTGCATTTCAACTGCACATTTCGTATTATTATCATAGATTTTATGTATATTTTTGTGTTCAGTCGAAAAGCCATCTGCATTCGGTACATTAACTTCCTGCACGTAACGTTCGGCTTTGTTTCCCTTGCGTTTTTATTATTTCGCTGAAAGCATTTTGATATACTTCCACCGGAGGAGGACTGCAGGAAGGGGACTGCGGCACGCCAGGAGGAGGACTCGCGAAAATGCAATTTTCCACGGCAGCCGAAGGCCCCAAGGATAATTTTCTCATATCGGACAAATCTCTCTTCTCTTCATTGCTCTCCTTCTTCGAACATTTCTAAAATATACTTACTTTCATATTTTCATCTTCATCTCTCTTCTCATCTTTATCTCCTCTCAATCCCCAAGTACATATCTCTACTCATCTTCATCTCTCATTCTCCAACTGCATCTATCTTCTCACATTCATCTCAATCTCATCATCATCTTCAAAGAAAGATCTTATTCCTAAAGAAAGATCTATATTTCACTACTCATCATCTTCCTTATCTTTTCAACTAAATCCTACTTTTCGGATCTTCAACTGTCTACAACATCTTTCCTCTTATATTCATCTTTATATATCTTATCATGTTCAATTTACTTTTTGTACTCATCTTCATCGTTCTCTCTCCAACTACATTCTTCTTCTCATTTTCATCTCTCTTACTCCAACATTACATCTGTCTACTCATCTTCATTTTTTCTCTCCAACTACATTCTTCGTCTCATCTTTATCTCTGTTATTCTAACTACATCTATCTTCTCATGTTCATTTCTCATTCTTCAACTACATCTCTCTTCTCATTTTCATCTTTCTCTCTCCAAGGACATTTCTCTACTCATCTTCTTATTTCTCTCTCCAACTACATCCATCTATATTTTCTCATCTTCATCTCTCCTTCTCCAAGTAGATCACCCTACTAATTTTCATCTCTCTTATATGAACTACATCTCTCTACTCATCTTCATCGATTTCTTTTCAACTGCATCTCTCTTCTCATTTTCATCTCTCTCCAATTACATTTATCTACTCATCTTCATAGTTCTCTCTCCAACTACATCCATCTTCTCATCTTCATCTCTTTTACTCCAACTATATCTCCCTTCTATTCTTCATCTCTCGTTCTCCAACTACATCTATTTACCCATCTTCATCTCTCTCTCTCCCTCCAACTAATAATCTCTTCTCATCCTTATCTCTCATTTCATCTACAACTATCTTTATCTCTCATACTCGATTCATCTTTTACTTAGATGGAATTGGTCGTATTGAGAACAGACGCAATTGATCAATGCTCGCCTGGGACCTGCGGATGTTTTGTTTTTTTCTTTGTTTCTCTCTCGTTTTTGTGAGCTTTCTGCGTTCATATCCGGGTTCATTCCGTACTCCGTTCAGAATCGAATCGAAACTAAGTAATTTCGCCGTGCTCGACGTCCAGCGGAATTTCCGGAATTGGAAAATGCATCTCGATTGAAACTAGTTTATAGAGAAATACAATTGTCGCATAACGTCAAGTCCCAATAGCGATTTCCTAATATAACAATCACAAAAAGACAGAAAAACTAAACGAAAATATAATTATTGATACAAAATCATTAAAAGAAAAAGTCTTAGAAAATTGCATTGCATATTATTATTCTTTTAATTGACTTTAACTTTAATATGTAATCTAATGGTAAAATCTTTGATTTTTTCAATTATTTCTCGAACCTACTGATGAGTGTATTCATTACGTAATGCTGCAACGACGATGTTGCGAGGTTTTGTCTTTGTAAATATTATTATTCCTGGAGCTTCTGAGGGAGGACGAGAGAAGATGATCATATCAAAAGCTCTTCGCCCACTTGAGTAGAGACGGGGAGAGGGTGGAGGATGGAAGGATCCGTCTTTGATGCATAATTAAAATCACAATTTACGTTCGACATCAAACGGCTGAGTAATAGTCGGAATTAAATAAACAGCCTCAATTAAGCTACAATGATCATACGAGGTTTTATGCGTATGTACATTAAAAAAATATTGCCTAAATGTGAAGAGTTTATAAGAAAATATCGCTTATTTTAACATCATTATTTTGATGATTTATTTAAATGATTAACGAGTTTAATCCGTTCCAAAATTTCCGGACTTTTACTCGTATAGTGAAAAATAATAAAAATCCGGGACTTATGTTTTCATCGTCACTCGTTATGCAAAACTTCGCTCGTTAAGCGAGTCAATTATCTTACAATTCATTTTGCTCGTATTTCGAAATGCTCGTTAAGGTTAAAGGTTAAGGTTCCAATGTACCTCTGTTACCGAACGCGTAGATTATTGAAGATAATTTCGGTTTCCGAACAGAATTTGATTTCTTCAAAACATCAAACTCTTAATATAAAAATAAAGTATAGTAGCTTACAATGTGTAATCATTCATTATTTGAGTCTCGGTTCCCGAACGTTTCAATTTCTGAAGAGAATTTCGGTTTTCAAACAGAATTTGAGTTCTTTAAAACAACAAACGTCGAATGTATAAATAAAGTATAGTAACTTTTAATATGTAAACATTCAAATATTAAAGTCTCGGTTTCCGAACGATTCCATTCTTGAAAATAATTTCGCTTTCCGAACAAACTTTGAGTGTCTCAAAACAACAAAGTGTCAATATATAACTATATTATAGTAGCTTTCAATTTGTAACCATTCATGAATTGGTGTTTCGATTCCCGAACGTTCCGATTCCCAAAAATAATTTCCGTTTCCAAATAGAATTTGAGTTCTTCAAAACCATAAAAATCCAAAGTATATGTAAAGCACAAAAGCTTCCAATTTGAACGATTCTATTCCTGATGAGAATTTCAGTTTCCGAACAGAATTTGATTCCTTCAAATTGAAGTCTCGGTACCCGAACCATATTCATTCCCGAAAATAATTTCGTTTTCCGAACCGAATTTGAGTCCCTCAAAACAAGAAATATAAAGTATAGTAACTTTCAATTTGTAATCATTCATAAATAAGAGTCTCGGTTCCCGAACGTTTTGTTTTTTTTGTACACAGATCAAATTTTGTCTTACATTGCCCGACGCATCCACCATTTATAAAATACAAAATTTATCGTTGAAAGTCAAACATTTACACTATAAATATTTCGCTTAACTTGCGTTATCTAAAAATGATCTTACGCAGTTAATGTAAAGGATGACATGGGGCCATTTCGAACGAAATTTATGTTCGAAACAGCATGTTTCAGTGGGGGCAAAACGGACACCACGGACAGGAACGGCAACTTTAATGCGATTTATACCCGTCGCCACACATGCATTTGTTTTTCTTTGTCCCGTCGCTGTAAATCAACCAAAAAAAAATTGTTATTTTTTCCCCATTTTTGTTAATTTTTTTTTGTTCTTTTTGTTTCGCCGCGTGTTTCGGAGCGTTTCGACGTGATTTGTCGCTGTTTAATAATGTCGTAAAGAGCGGCCACAAATCAACGTTCAGTTGGTTTTTCGCGTCTTCGCAAAAGAGAACGTCGCAAGTGGAGGTGTCGGCTATATTTCATACTTCTAAAAGCGATGTTGTGACGATTCCAAAAGTTTTTCCCAGTACATTTTCAACATTATATTTTCAGGTGAACTTAAACGCGAAAAAAATTACTTACGTAATGTAAATAATGTTAAATCATAAGAAAAAAATTGTTATTGCTTGATTTTAGAAAAATTAATCAAAATTTCTATGAAATAAGTTAATATTTTACGTTTTAACTATTGAAACGATTTTTTTTTTGTATTTTTTCTTGATCCAAAAGGAAATAGTGGAAAGATGAAAATAATAACAAAAAAAAAATGAAGAAAAAAGGGAGTAGTGAGAGGAGGAATGACGCATCTTCAAGATTCTCTGCATAATAAATTACGTATTCAGAAAAATGAACGAGACTCATAAATCCATCGTTCTCCTCATATCGAGCATTTGTTACATCAAAGTACTTCCATGCCTATTCCTTCCTTCCTTCCTCCTTCATCTTCTTGTTTTTTTTTTCTTTTTCATTCATTCATTTTTTTTCTGTTCACGTTGCAACAGCGTTTCATACTTTTCATCCCAATCTCCGAACCTCTCGACGTCGAGCAAAAATTGAAAAGAAAAGATACTTACTTTGCTGACTAATATTATTCCCTTGTACAATTTTTCATTTACGCATCGTTGAAATTTCAATAAATTATATGTAAATAAAAACTTCTTCTTTACATTTCTTTCACAGAATTATTACAAAATAATACAGTGGAATGTCGCTTAACGAGTTTAATTCGTACCAAAATTTTCGGATTTTTACTCGTATAGTGAAACATATTCAAAAATACACATAATATGTGTACACAAGTTTTAAAAATCATGTAGCAGGCGCGCAATCCGGGACTTCTCTTCACATCGTCACTCGTTATGCGAAACGTCTCTCGTTAAGCAATCTATTT